TGTTATTCCTTTTGCTTAGGGTTCTGTATCTGTTTATGAGCAATCTGTAATCTTATATGGAGACAGTTATGGCTTTTTGTCAGCATGGATAAGCTTCTGGATGGTTTTGGAAGCAATTCCTGTGAGATTTTAAGCCTGGTTCTTGCTCATTTGGGGCAAAGTTCTTGCTGGTTTGGGACGTGGTCCTTATCAAGATTTGGGACAAGGCTTTGGGGAGATGATATTATTCAACCTTCTGTAAAAACCTGTGTGGAATTAATTTTAATATCTCCTACTGGCTCAGGTGGGACTTACTAGTAGAGCCAAATAGGTGTGAGGGTGTCTTTGTGATACAGATTTAAATTTTAGTTTTTAAAGAATACAACAGCTCAGATTTTCATCCCATGTTAGTTTTGGCAAGTTGTATGTTTATAGATCATTATCCATGTTATTTAGAATACTGGTTAAAGCATACAAATACTCAAGTGTCTGTTCTGATGTCTGCAAGATTGGCAGTGGCGCCTTCTTTGCCCTGAAACCAATTGGTTTATCTGCAGCTTCTCTCCTCCTCCTTACTCCACCTGGCCAGTTGAGTCAGCAAAAGAACCAGCTTTTGTCCCTGACACCTTTACTTTCTGTCTCACTGTGTTCTCTTGTTCCTGCTACTTGGACCTCGTTTTCTGCTCCTTTGTAACTTCTTGCATTGCATGCTTAGCGTGCTGACTCCTCAGGAGGCATTTGGGAGAATCATCTTCATGGCTTTCGCTGTATCCCACCAGCATCATCGCTTCATTCGAGATACCCTCGTTTTCCACCCAGGGTTAACAAGAAGGCTTTTGCTTGGTTTCCAAATCCACAGGCAATTTCCAGCTGTCTTCTTTGTTACTGATTTCCAGCTTAACTGCTCCGAGGAAAGAAATCAAACTCTGATTCGATTTTGAGTCTTTGAAGTACATTGAGACTTGTTTGGTTAAGTTTTAAAAGTGGTCTGCGTGTACTTAACACTCAGATGTATCTGGTGGTGATGGTTTCTGTGTCTTAAACACATCTGAATAAGGTCAGAGGTATCGATCGCACCGTTCTCTCTGGATCTCCTTGCTGGCAATGCGTCTGCTTGTTCTGTCACTTACGGATAGAGGCTGGTAAAATTCACACTGACTGCATATTCATTTGTTTATTTCTCCTTTCACTTCTATCAGCTCCAGCAGAAATATGGATGTCATGGAAGCGCACACAAATTTAGGACTCTTGTCTTGGTGGGTTGACCTCTCATGTCACTATGCAGTATCCCTCTTTGTACACGGTGGGTCCCTCGGGCCCATTTGTCTGATGGCAACAGAGCTACGACCAGCTTTCTTCTGATTGCTATTTTTGTGACATTTTCCTGTGATTTTACTTTCACCTTTCTTTATGCTCACATTTAAAAAAATATGTCTTTAGTAAACTGCACATGGATTTTTCTTTACTCCATTTTCACTTGATTTCATGTTAGCATATTTTATTTTTATAATTACTGGTATATTTGCAAATCTGCCACCTGTGCAAAGAAAAATATGCAGCCTAGATATTTTGTTTATTTTTCTTCCATTTTTGTCTTTGTACTTATACAGTATTATGACTCTTTTAGTGACTTTCACAGATCTTATAACAAACATCTTTGTCTTATGATGGAGATTAAGCAGTGCTAGTCTTCAAGTCTGAAACCTGAGATATTTCAAAATATGAAATTTTCAAGCACTGTCCTGACACCAAGAGTAGGAAAATTCCACACCTGACCTCAGGCGAGGGGACACAGATAAAAACGTATCAAGTCCCCTTCGGGCAATGTGTGTAAGGCACATGTGATACAGGGATGAATTCTGTGGTTAGACCTAGGTTCCATTGCAGGGATATCGTGTTACAGCTTTGCAAATCTAAAATCTGACAAACCTTGCAGCTTTGGTTACTGAAAACGTCTTGATTCCACTTTACTTCTTGGACGATAGTTTACTGAATAACAGAACTCTCTTTTCTTTTAGCATCTTAAAAGTATCACTCTGCTGTAGTCCAGTCCCCCATCCCAGCTGAGAAGCCCGGCCTGGCCGGATACTCTCTCCAAGGAACCGTGTCTTTCCTCCTTCTGCTTTCAGGATTTTCTCATTGACTCCAGGCTTCAGCTATTTTACCATAAAATGCCATGGGTAATTTTATTTTTGATCTCTCCTGCCTAGAGTTGCAGGGCTTTTCGAGTTTGTCACTGGGTGTCTGTTACTGCTTTTGAAATGTTTCCAGCCATGATCTTTGCAAACATTCCTACTGTTCCATTTTACCTTTTATTCCAAACATCTGCCTGCTGGATCCCCTTCCTACTTCTCCCGCATCTCTTGCCCTTTCTCCTGTATTTCCCTTTTGTGTATCTCCATGCTTTACTTGGCCTGAATATTTCCTCTGACACCCTTTTCTTCACTCTCTCTCCAATTGTGTCCAATCTGCAGATAGAGCTATCCATCAAACTCTTAATCTTGTTAACTTTTTCAGTTCCACCTTTCCTGAGTAATTATTTTTTGTCTTTTCTATCTCATATATTTGCTTAAATGTAGTAAGCAGTTAGTACAAATCTGTGTCTGATTAATCCATTGCGTCCAGCCCATGGGTCTTTTTTATCATCTGTCGTTTCTCTTTGATTTTCACTTATGTTGTCTTTTTTCACTGAGGGCTCTCACTGTAGTGAAGGTAGACAGATAAGCTTTGAGCCTGGGCTTTATCTTCCGCTGGAGAAGATTTGCCTTTGCTCTGGTGGGCAGCGAGGGACACCTGCAACCTGATGTCACCTTAATCCACGTATAGAGAATCACACCATTTGAAGGTGGCTGTTAATCAGTTCCTGTAAGCACTTCCAAGTGGGTGGCCTGAGTCCCACCGTGAGTTGGTCTTCTAGGTCCTGAGCAGTCCCTCATTCCCTGTCTCCCAGGCACTGCCCTGGTGAAGGCTCGGTGACTGTGACGAGCACAGGCCGTGTGGACTGGACATGCCAATGCCAGCTGTAGAGCATCTCTTTTGGATCTCCTTAACTCACAGAGCCTCACTGCACAGGCTCAGTAACCCTAGGGCAGGAATGGCGGGATGGTTAGCCCTCATTCCAGGGCAGTCGACCTGGAATGTAAATGGTTCCATGACACCTTGCTAGGAAGCTGGAGAAACCTTGATTTGAACCCACAGCCTGGACTGGCTGAGTTCCTTTGCTACGCTGGGCTCGGCCTCACGTAGAAAGCCATTTGATAGCCTTCCGGTTCATGGATTCTCCTCGTGACAAAGGGGCTGGGGTGACATGGCTGAGCTTCACCATCTGTGACATGGGACAATGGCACGCCTACTCCCAGGGATGTGGTGAGAGTTAGCTGGGTTAATGACACTAGGAGTGGGGTCCTAGCAAACACGAGGGGCCATCAGCAGCAGGAGAGCAGTGAAATGCAGTGGAGGAGCACTGGGAGGTGGGCTGCAGACTGCCTCCCATCACCTGAATGGTCCCATCTCATGGATGTGGCGGCGACAGGCTTACCAGCTGCTCCGGAGCCTGGGATGTGAGTTCTGTGTCCCTTCCTTTGCTATTGGGGTGTTTCCCAGGCCAGCCTGCTGTGTGGCTAGAGGTGCACCCATATGGAGATGGCCTAATTGCAATCATCACAGTGTCTGTGCCTCCAAGGAGGAGCAGGGATCAGCAGCTTCAGAAATGGCTTCATTAGCATGCCTGGCAAAAGGCATCATTTTATTTTCAATTAGTGCCTTTTATCTGAGGCCTTCCATACGCTGAAAGGAGTCTGCCTTCTGCTCACAAGGTGCAGAGTTTCAGCCTCACAATCGGAGACTTAGGGGCAGCTTGGTTCACAAAGACATGGGGTGTGCAGGGGTAAGTTCTGCCCTGTGGCACCTGGGCTAGCTATTGGGTGGGTAGAAGGGACACACACAGGACACTGTGCAGTGAATTCTCATTGTGGCGTGGCCTGTAGTCATCACACAGGAAAGAGTGAAGAACACACACCCACCTGGCTTAGTCTTCACCAACGAGGGGACCCCGGGTGAAGAGATGCGTTTAGATACCAGGTTCACCACACCCAGGAAGACACTCATAACCCCCTTTCCCACTGGAGGGGAAGACTGAGCTCCCAAGGGCCTGCTTTCTTTCCTCTAACCAAAGCCACCTCTACTTGGGGTCAAGAAAGAACACAAAACAGAAAGCAGGTTCCTTGGCACCTCTGTCTCGTAAACTGTTCATGAAGAAGGGTTTCTTGTAGAGACAGGTTTGGGGAAACTTGCAGACTCTCTTCCTCAGACTCTTATCAAGGTATCTGCTGGACTTTGTTTACCTTTCACTTCCCATGGCCCTTTTCCATGGCTGCCCAGGCCACCTTGCTCTGCAATTTGACCTCACATGGGTCAGTTATGCCATGCAGGCCTCAGCAGCCACAGGGATTCTGAAGGACTCGCATACTGTCTTCCTGCAGGCTTCGAGCAATGGGGACTTCCTGCTGTTCTCTCAGTGTCTCCCCCAACATCTCCTAGCTTTAACCTCTCTGTCACCTGCAGTCCCCAGGCCCTAAGGTTGACACAGCCGTGGAAACTCTAGGCCAGGCAGAGGGTGAACAGGCTGGTTCCTGTCACACAGCCATGTGGGCTCTGTCTTGCTTGTCAAGCCTCAAGAGCCTGTTCTGTTGGTGGAACAACCCTCTGGCAAGTGAGGCTACAGAATTTGATGTGTAAATATGAGGATTCATAAAAAAATTATGAAGAACGTGAAGATGGCGGTGCGTTTGGTAGTCTGAACTTGGGTTGGGGTCCTGTGTGGTCTGCCCTCCCTTGACAGCAGCCCTGCCTCGGGCCAGTGCAAATGAGAGGCCAGCGGTGTTGGACAGTGTGGCCTCTGAGGAGAAGGGGACTACACCCTTATCCTCAGGGACTCTTGGCAGAGGCTCTGTGGGAGTCCTCAGGAGGTGGGAGCACTGCACTCTGGGTGCAGACCTTCCCTCCATGCTGTGTCCTCTTACCTTGTGTCCAGAGTGAGGGGACGAGGTCTGGGCCACCAGCAGCCGCACCATGACATCCCATCGCTCAGTTGTCTGATGGTCCCTCGCAGTCACAGTGAAGGCCACCTGCCTGGAGGGAATCTGCAGCTCCCGGGTGGCGAAGACAGTCCCATCTGCCCCGACTTTGAAGTCCAAGCTGCTGGTCTCATATTGTGTCCCCTTGGTCCCCAAACAGCTGCTGAACTTGACTGAAAGAGAGAGGAGGAGATGGTCAGGATGACCTGGTGGGCAAAAGGCAGCACCAAAATGCACAGCATTCTGAGTCCCCAGGGAACATGAGGACAGAGATGACGTCACAGAGCTTTCCACCTTCCTTCAGGAGAGAATGCATTTTAACTGTGTCTCTGGGGGACTTTTCTAGAGGCTTCAGGAAAGGAGAAAAATAAGTGGGGGTGCACGTCCATTCTCCAGCCTCAGCTGCCGGTCCCCTCTGCACACACCTGCGCCCCTCCCGCTGCTGGCTTTGCCCTCAGCTGGGCCTGGGCATCTCTGTGGGTGGCTCTATCTGGAAAACACTGCTGCCTGTCCCCTCCTGCTACACGAGAACCTCCACCTGCCTTCACAGCCTGACGGGTCTGAGATCTGGTATTAGGGACTGGTTCCTGATAGTGGGTAAGTTCTGGAGAGGAACTCAAATTGCTGTGGTCCCTCTGATTACTTTAATGAGACCTGACACCTGCCACGCAACTTTGTCTGGCCGGGGCAGAGGCAGAATGGGCAGACCTGGCCCAGCGCTGGCTCTCGTGGTTAGTCGCAAACAGCATTGATGCCGTGTGTCACAGCAATGTGGGTACCACACATTGTTTTCCTTCTAAAACATTAATTAGGCCCCCAAATTGCCAGCCAGGCCTGACGCTCCAGTGCCACGGCCATGTTTAACGCCACTGAGGAAACAGATTTCTCGGAGGCTGCTGTTCCATTTGGGCCACATTAGTGCGTTTTTTTATACGTGTGCTTTTGCAACTGTCACCCAATGCCACGGTAAGTCGTGAGGCACCAACAGCCAGTGTCACATTCTGCTGATAAAATCGGTGGGTAAGGGGATAAAGGATAATGATGGAGAGGATGAATTTAACTATGATATGCTGTAAGAACTTTTATAAATATCACAGTGTAGCCCCAGTACAACAATAATATAATTTTAAAAATATTTAAAAAGAAAAAAAAAGTGATGGGTAAAGTTGCCAAGTATTTGTAAAAATGTGGATATCTGAGCAATTACAGTGGGAAGACTGGGTTTTTAAGCAATTTCACTGTCACAGCTTCCATGATTTAATTACTATTTATTCTAGAAACTAAAAGAGACTCATTGTTAGGTTTGATAAAGCACTTCCCCTCATGTTCACCTTTTATTGTTGCCTGCCTGAAGTGACAAATAACGTGTGCACCCTCATCTCAAATACCTCACGTGAGACGTGAGCCACCGGCTCCTCTCACTTGTGGGCTTAATACTAAAGTGTTTTTAAATGCAATGAAACCAGGTATTTCTGCCTGAGTCTGTCTGGCCCAGAGAGCGGCCAGTGCGGGGACCCAGAGCCGTGTGGACAGTGGCATCTCTGATAGCTGAGGTGGCCATTCTGAAGGCCTCTTCAAGGATGCAGCATGAACTTTTTTTTTTTCAAGTAAAAGGAAAATTCAAAACTGCTTTTATAGTACTATATGCCCTCATTGTAAGCAAATTAAAATCAGCAACAAACTGAGTAGATCAATCATTCCTGACTCCCAGTTGTCAGGGACAAAGATAAAAATGACAGTTCCATGATGGCTGAGAGTTCAGCACCAATAACACAACAAACCTTGTGTTTAAAAACACAGGCACAGGTGACATCACTGGCAAGATTCCTCACTTACTTGAGAGGACATCTGGATGTCTGATCTGCCCACACAAGAAGCAGTGGACTCACTGTTCCTGGGAACCAAGGGCTCTATGGTGACCATGTCCTCTGAGGGCGAGACCCTGGGTAATTACAGGTGGCATCTGAGAGGCCATTGTACTGGACAGCCTTGTGGGGACAGCACCCTTGAGTACAAGCAGGGTTTCTCCATGTAGGGTACATGTCTGGAAGTTACCATCTTGCCAGTCTGGGTCAGATATGGATCCCCCTGGTGACCAGAAAGCTTGGGCTTTGTGACAGGAGGTCTTCTATTACACAGCCTCCACAGAACACCAGTGGGGCAGGCTGCTGGACACTACACTCCCTATTTTTGGAAGCTGCCCACAGAGAGAGATCTTCCCTGCATGTTTGAGAGTCTGTGCCCCCTCAGCAATGACAACAGGAAAGCAGGGATGTGGTCAGGCAAAGGTCAATATCCACGTGAACTGGGGCCTGACTGTACCTTGCTTGCTGGAAGAGGCCTGGGGACGGCCATGACCGTGAGGGTGCTCTCCAGAGCACGGTGCCTGCTGCTGAGCCCCCAATCCATTTTGCTTTAGTTATTCAGATAGGGTCTACTTGTTTTTGCTTGGAGCTGGTCTTAGACTTTCATCCTCCTGTCTCTGCCTCCCAAACAGCTGGGATTGCAAGTGTGTGCTACAGCACCTGCACTTCCACTCTATTTTCCATTTTTGCTTGCTCTTTGACTCACTTCCTCTTGTTTTTTGTTTTATTTTTAGAGGCTGCATCTCTGTTCTCAAGGGAAAGTCACACATAGGTGCCAGGTCAGCACATGCTGCGTGTCCCTGAGTCCTAGGGCAAGATCTACCTGGAGACCGTTGTTCTGGCCTGTGCCCTCCAGGACTGCAGCAAGGCTGGGATCCCCTTGCTACCTGTCCCAGAGTTGGGCTGAGCTAGCCAACTGTCAGGGTGGAATGAGTTGAGGACCCCCTGACTTAGGGAAGAAGAGGCTTCTTTATTGCATTGTGCTCAACCCAGAGTCTATCCACAAGATGGGCCTCCCTCCCTCCGTCACTCCATTGCCACCGGAGAAGACTGTCATGGTGTCCTGGGAGCAGCCCAAAACTGAGGCGTTAGGCCAACATTCTTCTTACTGTGTTTGCTTTGATCTTCTGATTTCTCTCTGTTTTCCAAAGAACAGGCAAACCTGCAAAGGTCACCGGAAATGCCTCCTCCAACACTGGATCCTGGTTTAGCTCAGCTCTTCCCAGGCGCGGCCCCACCCCTGCACCGGCACCCACTGGGCACGGCCCACCAGCTTCCTACAGGAAGTCAGTGTCCCCAGTGTGCCCATGAGGAAACTGAGGCCCAGGGACGGTTCACGCCTTGAAGGTGACAAGAGGAAGAGGTGGGGTCTTAGGCTGAACACGTGGGTCTCTGTGGCCCCTGTGCAGTCCGCTGGGAGGACGGAGTCCCCAAGTGTCCTGCTCTGTGCACCCTGAGGGTCCTGCTGGACTCCAGTGGTGTCTGGTGGAGCCGAAGCTATGGCCTCCCAGGCTTCAGAATGCTTATCCCTCCACATTTGCCTCACGACGCCGAGCTCTGCACGGCAGGCAGGGAGATGTGCGCCAGCCTGCAGCACCTGGCCCTGAGGGATATGGCGCCCAGAACCAGAGGGTGAGGAAAAGGAGGTCATGGAAGCAGAGGTCCTTCAGCGGCTACAGTGGGGTCCTCTGGGGAAGAGGCGGCACCGGCTCTGGCCTTGGTAGTGAGGGGCCACCTGGAGCTGTGTCTCTGTGGTTTGCTGATCACTTCCATTAGTTATAAACAAACTGACCCAACAGAGGGTCCCGAGGAGGCTGACTTCACTGTCTGAACACGCACAGTCAAAGCAGCCCTCGTCCTGTGGCCTGGAGGCTGTGGCCATGGCCAGTGAAGTAAAGCAGGGGCCGACGGACAGTCAAGCCCTGGTCTGCCATCTGTCACTGGTGCGTGTCCATTAGTGAGCTGCAAGTGTTAGGCCCCATCCGTCATCCTGGCCCCTAGGCAATGCTCTCTCTGGGGCCCATCATGCTGTAGACAGAGCTGTGGCTGAGGCTCCCACGCCCCAGGAAGGACTTGTGTCCACTTTATCACTCTGGACCACACTGATCTGCTCCCCTGAGCAAGGCCCTCTTACCCTGGGACACAGGCAGCCCTGGACCTCAGAGCTAACGTGGGCAGCATCTCCCATCCATCGGTACAGCACATATTTATGGGCACTGCAAGTTGGAAATGGCAAACATAGTGTCAATCACCTGGGGCCTAGAGTTGAGTTATCACACCAGACGCACAGCAGGCCAAGGGTACGGTGGGAAGGGCTTTCCCCAGGACAGGTGCCTCGATGCCTCTGCCACATGTGAGGACTGAGAGATTCCTCTAGAGAGAACATACCATGCAGCACAGACAGCATGTATGAAGGTCCTGGGGTAGAGGAAGGGAGGGATTCCAGGACTTGAGAGCTGGAGCCAGGGAGTGAGGGCATATGTGTGTATATGTGCAAAAAGAGTGCAAACAAACAAGGTGGCAGAAAGACCCCAGTCAGTGAGACCAGACACACAGTAGTCTCCTTATCTGCAGGGGATGCCTGAAACCACATATGGTACTGGACCTAAATATACTTAGATTTAGTAAGAGATTGACAATAGCAACTAACAACAAAACAATTACAACAGTATCCATGATAAAAGTTACTTAAAATACAAAATAACTGAAGCTGTCCATTCAAGATTTCAGACTGTGGTTGACCTGGTAACTGACATTGAGAAAAGCACCATCACAGATGAGGGCACAGCTGCCCCAGCTGCCCATGGGGAAGGTCTCAGGGGAGGGACACCAGGGTGCCCGGAGCCTGGTGATGGCAGTGATTCTGCAGCATTGTTGGAGATCTGCACTGGGCAGAAAGGGACACCTGAGGTCCGGAGTGGAAGCCACACCTGGACAATCTCTGGGGGTCATTTCCTAGCCACTGAGATGGAAGTGCAGGTTTTGTGTCCCCAGGAGGCATGATCTGTGTCATATACATGTGTTCTGACAACTGTGCTGGACAGGTGACAATGTGGGGAGGAAAGAGAAGGAAGAAGCCTGGGAGACGCAGGGGAGGCTCCTTGTGGTCTGCAGAGAGGAGTTTCTGCCACCCCTCATTTCAGGCAACTGAGAGAAATGACGCGTTAGGGTGCATTCATTTATTCCATGCCACAAACATGGAAACCCCACAGTGTGTGGGGCCCATAATTACAAATGCCTTCCTTCTCCTTCCTTGGCTTGGGGCACTTTTAATATCTACTTAGCTGATGTCAAAATATGAAGC